CGTCCAATTTTCTAGTAGAGTTTTTTCAACAATTTCTTTGTCCCAATCTATCTTTAACATCCATAGTTGCTGCATAAGAATTTTTCCAACTACTATAACAGGAGCCAGTAGTCCTAAAGGGTCATAGCATTGAGCTATGAGAGAAAGAATTTTTCTTTTTGTTGGAGGCCCTTGAAATGAAACATTAGGAAGAGCTATACACAAAAAATCTTTAGAGGGGTTCCATTTTATTCCTAACACTTTATTTGGGTTATCGTCGAAACTGAGGTTATATTCAGAGATTGATCGAGTCGAAATGCCCGCGAGAAAATTTTGTGAGTTAGTGCACCACTTGTGCAAACTAAAGCCACAACTACTTAATAGAGAGTTCAATTCTGAATACAAATTTTCCAAGCTTGATTCATGATCACAGCCAGCCAAAATATCATCAACATAGGTTTGCTCTAAAAGGGCCTTAGAGGCTAGAGGGTACTGACCTTCGTGAATTTGAGCAATCTCCTTGAGAACACGAGTAGCTTGGAAAGGGGCACTGGTACATCCATACGTAACAGTAGAGAGTTCGATACATTTCAGAGGTTGAGAGGCTGAGTCTCTCCAGAGAATATTAAATAAAAATGTTTGAGCAGGATTTATCTTAATTTGTCTATACATTTTTTCTATATCTGAGATGAGGACAAATTTGAAAGATCGAAAGCGACACAAAATGTCCATGAGATTGGGTTGTAGTTGGAAACCTTTGAGGGAAATGTCATTTAATGACAATCCTGATGATGTTGGACACGAGCAATCAAACACCACCCTTAATTTGGTGGTAGTTTTGTCTTCTCGTAAGACTGCATGATGCGGGATAAAATATTTAGGTTCATTGTTTTCGTTTACTTCTGAGAGAGGAACGTATTTCCCATGTCCGAGATCCACATATTCATCAATGAACCTTTTATAATTTATAAAGTATTCTCGATTTTTAGAGAATTTCTTTTCTAAGTTAAAAAATCTTTTTTGGGCGATGGAGAGAGAATGGCCTAATTTTAGGTTTTCTAATGGAGACCTCAGAGGTAAATCCACTTGATATGAGCCATTTTCTAATACACGAGTTGTGTCTACAAATATTTTTTCAGCGAGTTCCTCCTCTGGGGCAAGAAGGAACCTTTCAGGAATTTCTTCCATCTTCCAGAACCTTTCTACTAAATTATCGAGAGTGAGTTTCTCTACGGATTGAACAAACATGGCTACATTGTGAGGTTTACTTAAGAGGGAAGGAAGATTAAATCTAACCCTTTTATTACGAGATGAGGGTACATGTCCAGCAACTACCCATCCAAATCTGGTCTGTTGAAGTACAGGGAGATTGTTACCAAGCCTCCTTACCCCTTCTAATAACAAGTCGTAATAGCAATCTGCACCTATGAGAAGGTCAATTTGCGTAGGAGTATAATAGAGTGAGTCAGCGAGTTGAATATCCGAGGGAATTCTTATGAGAGAGTGATCAATTTCAACTTGAGGGAGTTTCCCAGTGATATTTTCTAAAATAGAGCAAGAGATTTTGCATTTTTCACGAGACACACATGAGTGTGCAACAATATCAATCATTTTGTTTGAGTGAGCAATTTGTGAACCTATTCCAGAGATACTTAGGGTCCTTTTCTGGGGAGTGTACCCAAGTTTGTCAGCAAACTTTGAGGTTACAAAAGAGTTTTGGCTACATGGATCAAGTAAAGCCTTTGCTGTAATCCTATGGCCTTGAGAACTATAAACAAATATTTGTGCAGTGCCTAAGAGTACAAGAGAGGTAGCACAAAGTGCCGAGAGAGAGGGAGTAATATTATTGACATTTTGCTGACGAGTGTCGACAAAGGACTGAGCATTTTCACTTCTGTTTTGAGAACTATCAACATTGTCATAGGTGCCTTGAGTGTTGGGACGAATGCCACTATTAGAGTGGGAAGGATCAAGTTGTCCTTGAGAGTAATTGTTTCTAGAATTAGAGTTAGATCTGTACCTATTTTGTGGCATATTAGAGAAATTTCTAGGAGCTGAGTTTGGGACATTTTGAGAAAAAGAAGAGGTGCTATTGGGCGAGTGACTATTACTCCGAAAATTGTTAATCATATTTGCAGCATTATTTTTACTCTCAAAGTGTAAGAGCGTATGATGCTTTCTGCGACACACTTGACAAGTACCCCTTGTACATTCATATACGCTATGGGCAGAGCCCAAACAATTAAAACACAATCTTTGTGATTTCACAAAGTTAATTTTTTCACAATGAGGCAATTCCTTAAATTTCAAACAGCTATAAATGCGATGCGAGTCATTTTTACAAAAAATACATGAAGAGTTTCTAGGTTTAGGAGTATTATTAGAGTTTATCGCGGCGTGTACCGACGTATGAGTCGCCTTCATCGATTTAGAGCTAAAAGACTTATTTTGATCTCGAGATTCTAAATTTTCTAAATGATTACAGCGAGCTTCTATGCTTTCTAAAAATTGTTTCAGAGTTACTGTACTATAAGAGTTATTTTCAAATTCCAAACTTCTTTTCGTAGAGAAATCTAACTTATTTTCTAAATGATATATTAGTGTCAAATCTAATAACTGTTCGTGAGACAAATTTAAATTTTTAAGAGACTGAAAACTTTTATTTACTGAAACATAAAATTCCCCGAGTTGCTTATGGACTTGAGAGTTACCTTGAATTGGCTTTACTTCAAATAAATCACGTAATAAACTTTTTACCAACAAATTTTTATTAGTGTATCTATTTTTAAGTGTATCTAAAGCAATTTGAAAGTTATCTGCCGTAACGGGCAGTGTATCTATAAGTCTGAGTGGCTCGCCAGTCAGATATGACTTGAGATAGATCATCATCTGAATGGGAGTTAAATTATTATTTTTTAAAATTAACGCGTCAAATAAATCATAAAATGGAGTCCACTCTACTATGTTTCCTGAGAACTTTTGAATATTTATTTCCGGTAACCTTACCGCTGGAGACGAGAGCACTTTAGTTCCTGACTCTACAGTTTTAGATTCGACAGAAGATTTTAAAACCGAGATTTTATCCTGAATTCGAGATAACACTATGCTAAACCTTTCTTCCAATTGTTCCCTATCATCAAAACTTTCTTCCGCAGTTAAAAAACATTCTAATTCATCCTGAGCTACATTATATTGCTGAAAACAATCTAATGCCATTTTTTCCCGAATGGCTAATTGAGAAATACTGATCGCAGTATCGAGATTTGCGTCTGTCCACTTCTCTAAGCGAGTTAAAGATGCTTTCGCAGAGGTGCGAGCATGTTTCGTTACTTGTCTATTATTCATGTTGAGTATATGAATTTTTATTAAACTAAATTATCAAGTATTTAAATTAAGGAACTGCAGAAATTATTTTTTATATAGGTACGCACTTGCAATAAACATAAAGAGAGGAATGCACACAACAAAACTTTAACAATAAATAAGTCATAGTCACAGGCATAAGTCAAAATATACAAAACTAGAGAGTACACCTTTCTTAGTGTAGTTTTAATTTATTTGTATTGTAACCGAGACTGGCCTTTTTGGCATTTAATTGAGTAGGAGAGAGAGAGATAAGAATTTTAAACAGAGATTTTTACTAAATTCAATGAAACTATTTATAAATTTTGCAAAAAGTCTTTTTTGGGATCCGGCTCGCTTTAGGACCATCATATGGTCGCTCAGCAAACTACTTTGGTCTGCCTTGCAACCACTCGAGCGTGGAGGACCGACAAACGTGTCTCCGACTATATAAAAACTCCTAGAGTTAATATTGTATTTCCAGTTAGGGGCTGGTTCAGAATCTCCAAAATTGACTTTATTAGGTATAAGTGAAATAAAATAAATGAACAGTACTACAAGTGTATTGAAAACTAACAAATAACTAAAGTTTTACTCTCTCGTAATTTTTATATAAAAGGGGTTACAATACAAATGGATATGAATTCATATTTATTAGAGAAATGTGCACATACTTATTCGGCCTTCTAAATTTTAACATTAACTTATATTAAGCACACGAGATATAGTTTCGTTCGCGAATAGAGTGTTTGTATACAAATTTCCGTTTTAAATTTTGTCTTTGGCCATGGAGGACTTCAATAATAGAGAATATTAAGTACCTTACAATAACTTTGAACAGTAGTTGACACCCTTCAGAAGATGCTTCCGACGGCAACTGGTAGCAGGAACACTTTTATCATTACACTTTCCCTTCGTTGCACCTATGACTTCACCAAGTTCACATTCCTAAGATCGTTTTATAATTTAATTATCAAAAACTTAAACAAAAATGACTAATGGAGAAGACACAACGCCATATATATTTTTTCTATGACACCGCCAACTTCTCTCCTTGCTAATTGTCATTTTTCAGTTTTTTGAAAACTGTCACTAGGTGGATAAGTCCCCTTTCACAATAAATTTATTTTAGAGTGAATATATAGGTTTACAATTATCTGAGAGTGATTTCCTGCATTTATGTGTTTTTTATTTGATATTACATATTATATTATTTTATTTATTAACATGTGCGACCTAAAGGCATTCAACGCCCTCTCATGACGAGAACGCTTTCTAAGTGTAACAGATTGGAACTTATGTCATAAAAAATGTGACATTGGGAATGCACGAAAATGGTGCTAGAGGTTCAAAATTTTAATTTCTTATATAATTTAAATCAAGGTGTTGGGAACTTTTCCCAACAACTGTATTTTTATTAAGTAAAAAATTTAACAATAACTTTTGAAGTACGTAAAAAAAATAATTAAAAACTAAACAAAGGCAGGGCTACTTCCGCTAATTATCAGTAATCTGAATTGTGTCTTTAAGTACTAGAGTCTGCAAAAAATAGTGAAACTTCGCTGGAACCGTTGATTGAATAATCTAATTGATTGAATAATCCAATGAATTATTCAATCAACGCTGGAACCCACTTTAGCAGCTTTTGAAGATCATTGAATTTTTTAGTACTTATCGGATTAGGTATCTCTCAAGGTAACCAGAGAGTCTTCTAAAGATTGATGATTTCTTCTACCAACTCTTCGGGTAAAGTCTACACTCTGAAATTCCAAATCGAAGTCTGTTTTAAAGTACACAATCCCAGGATTTTCTTGTCCGAATTGCATACATACTGCTTGTGAAATTAAAAATTTTTCGTTGTTCTCAGTTTTCTTATTATTTTGAAATGGTGAATCGCAAGAATTGTACAGTTTATTAAAGTCTTTAAAATTAGACGTTATCATTTCATACACTTTGAAATCTTTGTTTTTTCCGGAAATTCTAGCCAACTGTAACCAATCCCATGGAGTAATAATTTGAAAATTAGGACATTTTTTAGCTTCTCGTTCTATAACTGAATGTATACTGTCCACCTCCATGTGCGTATGCCCTCGCAAAAGGAATTTGTGAGTTATTTCCTTTATATGTGGATATCTCGAAAGTGGATAAAAGTAGCACATAATCATTTGTATGTTCCGGTTTTGGGATGGGCAGTTATCGGTCCAAATAACAACCGAAGTTGTGCTTTGAGGTAATGAATGAATGTATTGGACCAAGCATGAGGCCATTTCGTTTCCACCTCGGCCAGCAATTGATTCATCCCACATTAGACAGTTCGCCTGTTTTTCCGTTGAATCATAAATTGTATAATTAAAACACCAGAGTTTTAGACTGTAAAAACTTTGAGAGTTAGTTAGCTTTGGGCAAGCAAGACATTTTTGTAAATCTATCATTAAAACTTTTTGTCCAGGGTTATTGATGGACATCTCCTTGTCTATCTGTTTCAATTTGTACCGTTTATCGGCCTCTAACAAATGAGCGTTATACTGCACTTGTAATGTTTCTCGCTCAGCTTCAGAGTTTGACTGTCTTAGATTGATTAGAAATTCATCACATTTATCACAAGTATCTTTTGAAGGAACAGCGAACGATAAATTAAATTCTGTATTAAAAATGTGATTGTAAAGCCATTCTTTGCCTACTTCGTCCGAAGGAATGTTTTTCAAATCACACTCTTCCTTAAACATCCTAAACATTGTAGAAATATTTAAGTGACCTCCTAAATATTTTTTCGCCGTCCTTCTTCGACTATAATGTGATTCTTCACATGGGTAGGCCATTATATGCTCACGAATCCTGTCCTTTACCTCATTCTTTACTTTATTTATAGATGGCTGCTTTCCTCTTTTGTCACATTCTACAACTCCACTTGTTTGCATTTTTCAAGTGCACATCTAACAAAGATAGAAAATAGAAAAGGGTAGAAAAGAGAAATATCTAGAGTACGCAAAAAGAACTTACTGCAAACTTGAAACCTCTTTCCTTCAACGGTAAAAAAATATTTCCAGTTACAATGGCGTTTTCCAGCTCGAGCACCTGTTCGTTCTCTTTTTCTTTTGATATACATTTTTTCAAGACAAGAACATAAAAACTGTCTTTTTTGATCTATGGTTGTCTCATGATTCCAAAATTGTCGGTGAATTTGTGCTCGCTGAGGACCTAAGATGTTTTCATTGCATTTTAAACGACAGTTTCTACAAGGCTCTCGAACCTTCCTTTCCTTTATAGTCTTTTTAGTTTTGGAAGATTTATATTGTTGGCCTGCCATCCTCTTCTTTTTTCGTTCGTTTCGTTGCCACGTACTTTCGTTCCTTAAACGTTTCTTACCTTTGCTTTTATAATCGGCTACCATGACCTCTTTTTCATTTTCATCTTCACCCTCATTTGTGATTTCAAAATCATTGTCAGTACTCGAATTAATGCTAGGAACAAATGAACTTTCCGAATATTCATATGGATCCTCCTCGTCTTGGTGTATGGTACTTGTAGACGAATTGAGCTCCAGTGGTGGTTGCTTAATTTCGTTAATAAGCCAGCTGCTACTTGAAGAAGGTATGTCTTTAGGTACATCTGAAACAACAGCAGCTGCATTTAGCTGCATTTCAGTTGTATCCTCCTGCAAGTTAACAAAGTTTTAAGATATATCTAACAAGGACGGTGATGTGATCCGTACAGCCATAGCCTCATCCGAATTCTGACTCTCAAGGTAGTCTAAAACAATAAAAAAAAAGATGTACAGGCAAAAAAGAGAAATACATTGACAAGAGCTTTGAGATTTATTTCTTTTACTTTTCTAAAACAATAATATCAGCTATTATAAGTGACTCCGTATTTTATATAACAAAAACAAAATAATTCATCCTTTTTTTATTTTAAATTCATTAGTTATAACTTTTCTATTAAATGGCGTACGAATGTTAAAGATCGTCACCGTAAATTCAAAACATTTGTCTTTATAATGTAGTTAAACTTATTATTTATCATTAGAAATATTTACGTTTACTAGAAGTATTTTCCACTGATGAGGATTCATTATTCACGTTTTGTTTACCGCTCAGCGCAAGCTGAAGAATTCTCTGGGCTCTATCTTCCATTTTTGGCTATCTCGTTTAATTTAACATGCACGACTTAAACAAAAAATATAACACCGGGTTTAAAAGCGAAGAGAACATGCGCTTCAATACACTGCAAATAGCGAACTGAACAAACGCACGTATTGTACTATGTAATTCACACCTCAACAAGCGCAGACTTGTCAAATTTTAAAAGATTGTGGACTTAATGCTTTGCTTGAATTACATTATGTGGGACATAATACTTTTTGTTGGACATAATATGGTTTTGCCCTGGGAAATGTACACACCACTTTGGATCTAATACATTTGAAATGCAGAAGATACTGTTTTGCTCTAAAACAATGTGGACTTAATACTGTTCATAAAAGGTTATTTTGGCCAATTTCAGTCGAAACAGCGAATAAGAAGCACCATTGAATAGAGCGGAAAATTTTAATCCCAGTGAGCCAAAAAAGTAGAAAACTGAAATTTTAGACTTAATACAGTTTTGCTCTGAGGTACGGATATTATACTTAAAAAAAAAAAAAATAAAGGAAGTAATTATAAAAACTTGTTTTGTAATTGGTGGTCAACTAAACAATTAGATTCAACGGTACGATGGATAAAAATAAATGGACCAATTCAATTGCCATCTAAGATCGACTGATAGTCTTGAAAATCTAATCAAAGATAAGATTTTAAATATAAGATAAGACTTTTTTATTGATACTATTTTATTGAAATACTAAATTTATTGATAACTTCTCTTTTAGCCTGTTCTATAGACATACCATTGTTTAACTTACGTAGTTATTTTAGTTTTCCCATTTGATCTAAAGTTTTAAAAGTTTGAATACGATTACCGTAAAATTATGATTAGTCCTTAGTGGATACTGACAAATATTGTCTACCACTAATGATTAATTATAGAATTGAGTGAATCGATAAATTATTTTGTCCTTTGTAACTAGATCTCTCTCCCGAGAAGTTTACTGCCAGCTTTATGCTTTATTGATCATAAAATTGAATGCTTATGCAAAATATAATCTCACATTTTAGAGAATTTTATTTATCTCAAGGTCATTTGTTTCAAAACATGACCTTAACACGAAATCGACGTGTGAACGAATAAATTGCATGGACGTCTAAACATTGTGAAAGTTAGATTGTTAGATGCTAGACGATTTGGGAAAACGGCAATATATTTTTGAAATATACTTTTACGAGAATTATTCGATAAGTACGGAGCGTAACACACAGGTGGCGCTAATTTGGAGGAATATTCTGGACTTATTCACTAGTCTGATTTTAGTGTAAATTCACGTTAATGTATCGTGTGGTTTTGAAATCAATGAAAAATAGAGCTGAAGTCAACAATACATGACTTTCATCTTAAAGGCTCAACACCAACAGTAATTCTAACAATGTTAAATTTAATACAGTTGAAATTTTCTACTTCATTTTCAATATGTAAAAGCTCTATATGGCCTAATATAAGCGAGGTAGATATTATACTACTTGACTAAAAACTGCTTCGATTTCGAATATAATTGTATAGTATTTGACGATTTCTCCCTATGTTGTCACAATGGATCTTCACTAAAATGGAGTGACATGTCAAAATAGGTCAAAGGAGCTGCGACAAAACAGTCACTACAAAAACTTCCGAACAACAGAAAACAGTAATACCTTAAAAAAATCGGCTAATATTATTAAAGTATGTGTCTCGTAAACACTCGGGAATTGTCGTCACCAGTCACTTCCTATCTCTCATTATTCTACAGAACGGGATTGGTGATTGGTAAATATTCTTTGTTAGAACGAAAATATTTAAATATTGTTCATTTTGATATACCACGCCCATTAGTGTAACAAAATTAATTTTGTAAATTTGTGACATCTATTAGTTTGGTAAGTACTATTCCTTTATACTAATATTACCTTTCCTTTTTTATTCAAAATTACATAATTATATTTACACTTACTTCATAAACATCAAACTGGATCACTGCGCCTGGTTATAGATTTTTTTATAATTTAACAAATTTATATTTGTTTTAGATCGGAAATACGCTTTTCATGACAAGTTGTATTATAAAATATAACTTGGAGGATCCTAAAGTTGTCGAAGAACTACAAAGATTGCTGTTTGACGACAACGAAGGTGATTCACAGGACAATTTTGATGATGAAGAGGACACAGATGCAGAATATGTAGTCGAACTTCGTGACAGCGATTTAGATACTGAGCAAGAAGCTAGTTATAATGATAAATGATTAAGATGGATCTAACGCAGATGATAACAACTTTTTTTGGAAGAAAGAAAAATAAAGAAAAGAAGCTCTTAGAAAATACAGAATGGAATATGAATCCCCCATCACAAAGACTTCCTTTAAAACAATATAATCTTATTCGCAAGTTACCAGGTGTAACAGGTGCTGCAAGAATGGCAAAAACTCCTTTGGAATGCTGGAGTTGGAATGTATTATGAATGACGAAATATTGCGTATGATTGGTAAATCGCTCGTCAAACGCGATAGATATGCTAAGCCTATTATTGACATTGTTAAACTGAAAACATTTATAGGTCTCTTACTTTCCTCAGCTCCCTGTTGGTCACCGCTGAACTTCTCTTCATGAAGTCCCATCTCCTTTATCCCATGGCATTGCTTAAAGCTCAATCAACCAGATGATGTATCAAAATCCCCTTCTAAGCCCAACACGGCAAAAAATGTTTTGCTCTTATGACAATTATAAGACCTGATATAGGTGTACCCATGTTACGAACTTAGGATATCCATTCTACAAATGCCGTCTCTAATTCTATGTTTGACAAGATTCTCATTGCTTTTCTTTTCTTCATGGTAGAAGAGCTTTCTGACATTGATGCAAATGAAAGAAGTTTGTCCAGTTGTTTTAAAATGTCTCGCACGGTCGACTGACCAATACTGTACTGAAGGCACGTAAGTTTACGGGAAGCATCGTTTTCAATTTTACTTATGAATTCTAATTTTTGGAATAGAATACGGAAAGAGAATAGTGAAATTCTGCACATCAAACGAACTGAGAATAACCAACATATTTTTTTATTATAAAATTCAACAAAAATACACGTTTGAAAATACAAGATGACATAGATCAATGATAGATTATGTCGATCCCTGCAAAGAATAACGTTGTAACCAGCATTTATGATATTCTTCAGAAATGATAAAAAAAGATACCAATTTCTTTGTTTTCTTTTTTTATATGTATGTGACATTTTTTCAGTGTAAGAAGTAAGTAGTTATACAAATGTTGGACTCCTCTTTTAGAATAATGTCTAATTTTTTTTTATTAGAGAATAGGTTTTTAAACTGTGGTAGTGACAGACAGTTTTTAATATAAAATAAAGTTTCATCGAATAATCTTTTAACTGCACTTACGATGTTCTCATCGGAAAAGGTAATATGAATTTCGAATTATTGCTCATTGTAGGTTAAGGAATAATACCAGTAGATAGTTTTTAAAATGCAAATTTTATTCTTCTTCTTCACATATCATCTCCGCGACGAAGGTTGGCAATCATCATGGCTATTCTGATCTTAGATGCCGCTGCTCTGAATAGTTCAATTGATGTGCATCCGTACCATTTTCTCAATTTACGCAACCATGAGATTCTTCTTCTTCCTACACTTCTCTTGCCCTAAATTTTATTAAAAACTAAATATAAATTCGAATTAAATTTAAAATGAACATATTTATTTTATGTCTAGTCTTCCATATCGCTGCCTTGATTAATGTTTTTGCAATCAACTGGGAGATTTTTAAAATAATCGTGGTAAGTGGCAGGAATGCACTGGCTTCGACATAAACTCTGCAGATTATCATATTTTGCTTTTGTTATCCCTAGATTAGATGAATATGCTAGATGTAGATTCTCAGAAAGACCTTTACTAGAAGTTGCTAACCTTTTTTGTTTCCTGGAGATAGGTTTCTGTAGCAAGTTTAACTTAATTTTTTTTATTGGATATGAATTCATATTGAATATTCACCGCGCCAGGATTTGTTTCAGAAATATTTATGTCTTTCACCATGTTCCAGACCATTTTTTCATTTTCTTCATTTATACACCAATTTGGAAATGTTGTCCTAGGTTTTTAAAATCAAATATATTGTCTTTGTGCAGTTCAGTTACCTAATACAATTTACCTGTTGTTTTTGCATATCTTACTAAGCTTATCCATTGCTCGGGAATAAAAACTGTTTGGTTCTTTTGACGTCGCTCTATTAAGGCGTGTATGGAATCTCCCTCTTTTTGGGAATGACCTACCTCAAAATAATTGTGTTATGTTTTAAAAAATAACACCTGCACTGTACTATTCAACTGCAAACTAAACACCGGGACCGGGAAACAATCAAGACCTGTCTATTTCCTGCTACTATTCTCACAATAATGCCGCGAAATATTGACACACGACGTATAGTATCTACCTGCATAATCATCGGAACTTAGGAGCCAATGCGACGAATAAAATTGTAACAACAATTATGGTGTAGTTTTTGAAATATGAGAAATATTTTGATACACTATGGAACGATACAGTATTTTTCGACAAAAATTTGATTTGGTTCAACGTCGTATCTGTAGTTACTGTGTTATTCTACAAATAATTCAATTTTTTTTATATTTACGGTATTATTCCATTCGGAATCTTTCTTATGAATGCAGTTACAGCCACACCGAACATGTTGGCAGATAGAGTGTAAAAAGTTATTCAAGAAGAACACTGTAACTCAAAATCGCCAAAAATGTTGGTTACAACGTTATTCTATGCAGGGTCGATGTGGTCACAAACAGAAATATTCACCATAAACAGATAGTGGATGTGAGAAGTTTGACGTCACCCAATGTGAGAAGCGATTACTATTTGGTACTTGGTAAAATTAGATTTAATGAAAGATGGAAAGAGAAGCTTAAACAAACCAATTTTAGAGGAAATAATAAAAATAGAAAATTTAAGAGATGACTCCATAAAATCATTATATCAAAAAGGCGAGAACAGAAAATACAAATGGAGAATATCGAAAACGAAAGCAATGTAGAGACTAGCTGGAGAAAACTTAAGAAAAATATTCTGAATGCTGCCCGAGAAGCTCTTGGAACGAAAATAATAAACAGAAAGTGGTTAACGAAAACACCATGGTTTACACTAGAGGTTAAACAAAAATGTCACCAAAAAAAAGCTTCTAAAATATAAGTCAGAAAAAACGAATGAATCATAATTAAGAATATAAAAGAATAAGAACTGAAACTTATCAATTGGTAAGAAAAACAAAAACAGATTACTGGGAAAGATTCACAAAAGGACTAGAGATGGATTTCTATGGACAACAGACTCTAGCCAACTATTTAGAGCTGCTGTAAGTAAAATAAGAATTGCCATGTTGATATCCAACCTTCGTTAGAAGATGGAACCTTAAGAAGAAGAAGGACAACAGAAACAAGGATGGCGCTTCATAAGACAACAAAGAAGCGAAATGAAAGAACTAGTTGAAATAGAACACATACAAGAGGATACATGGGTGACCTTCCTGACAGAAATGTTTAAAAAAACAAAACGAAGAACCTTTACCAGAAACGCCAAATATAATAACTAAGAAAAAGACCGAAATTTCCCAAAACGATGTGAAAAAAGGAATACACAAATTAAAAAACAGAAGTCACCAGGAGAAAATCAAATACCGAATGAACTCTTATTATATCTTATAAATATGGAGGTGATTACCTTGTACAACAACTGCAACTTCTTA